TGCTGTCATCTCCTAGTTTTGCTAAACGCCAGGGTTTTACTTGGTGTGTCTTCCTCTGTAGCATGATCTCTTTCCTAGGAACACGTATTACAAAGATCTGGACACAAGGTGTCCTCTGCCTTGCCATTCGGACTCCTGTGGCTCACTGCGGTTGCAGCTTTTGGCCATTACCAAGAGATTATGGTTCAAAAGGTGATAGAAATATTTTGCAACTTCAATCCAGGAAGGTCCACATCATCAGTTATGTATTTGAGGTCATTATGAGCGGATTAGCCTTGATGGTCTAATCGGCTTTTCTCATCAGTGTTGCTAGTAATTTCTGCATTACAGTCTGAAGATCATTTACAGTAAAAACAAAATCAAAGGAATAATATTCCTTTTTAGAACAATTGGAAAGATTCTTGGTCTAAAAAGAAGTAAACAAACTAAATAGCCTTACAGTGATCTAATATTATCTCAATGATGTGTTTAGAGAGGAGCTTTTTATTTTTTATCTCTCTTACCATAGCTGTAAAATTGTTGCCACTCTTAGCAGGAGAGGAACAGGAAAAAAATTCACTCAGATTCTTTCTTTTTTTTCTTGATGTGTATGGCTGAATTAAGTCTTTTAAAGAGATCTGAAAGAAAAAATAGATAGCAACTTGCCGGGTTGGGGGGGAAGAAATTAAAGATTAATGTAGGGATCAGGATTTAGGGTAAAGACATTCCAAGATCAAAATCTCTTATCTCTTTTCAAAACCACTGTTGCTTTTATCATTTCAGAGTGACATACAGATTCTAAAGGGCTTCACAGGTGTGACTCCCAGAGGATGGTCAAAGAGAAATACTGTTTTAAATCTTCTGGTCAGGTGGATCCTGATCCCCAGTTGAGGCTTACTGGTAATGGCTGGTGGTGCAATATTGACAGTAACTTGTCCTGACCTGTGCTGAGTAAATCACATCTAGTAGCATGAAATTAAATTTGCTTTATGCTGAAGTGATGGGTGCTTCCTGAATCATCAGGGAGGGGAAGCCATGTTCAAATGTCTGTCTAGAATTACGGAGGAGATCTATCTGCCAAAGCAGGGAGTCAGACCCATAGGCACAATTTCTAAGTATATGAAAGACTCTGAAAAGCCAACAGTTTAGGGGTTTTTGGTGGGTTTTTTTTTTTTTTTGAAAGATAGCATTAGAAAGAGAACAAGTTGAATATGACTGATCTTACCTGTCCAAGTTCATTTGTATTTACACAAATTGATGCAGGTTTTTTTTTTTTTTTTTAAGTGCCTATTACAATTTTAAGAAACTCAAAGAATTTTTAAATCCTATGAATGCTGCCATAAGAGTCAGCCTTTACGGATTTTGCTAATTTGCTTTATGGGCAGCTACTATTACTAGGTAGTTATTATGGTCTTTTCAATTAAAAACTGTTTAGACTTTTGAATACCGCCAATACGGCTATAAGGATCTTTCTGTATTAGTGTTTGTCAGAACAAGCATCATGTCTAATTGAACTAGGTACCTAATGGATGTAGAAGTATTTGTGGTTATCTTTTTTAAAAAAAGATGTATCATTAATGTCAAGCTGTGAAAGAATTAATACTTAAGATTACAAAATACAAGTTCTCCGCAGCTTGATACCAAACAGTTCAGGTGTTTGTGTTTTCTAATTGAGCTTGTGTTGAATGCCTAATAAAGACTGTGCAAACAACATTGTTAGTTAAGAAAACATTTTAAATCTACAAAAGGATGGCAGATCTCGGAGAAGGAAAACCATGTGTGTTTACAGTAAATGGATTTTGCAAACAACCGTAACTTGGGAAAGATTGCTTTTTATAGGTTAAAAAAAACCCTAGAAAGTCTCACATCAGATATCAGTATAGGCTCTTGCATGAAGCAGGTTGTGGGATTTCTCTAAACTAATTTTTGATTTCACATGTTCTAATAGTTAAGAGCATAAGTCTTGTAAGGTATAAAAGAGTACAACACTTGTCTGAAAGACTTTTGGTGGCAAAGAGTTCAACACAATCCTTGGCAACTGTTTGCAATAAAAAAACAATGTATGTTTTCTTTAGCTTGAACGTATATAAATATGATAATTTACCAGCTAGCACATCTCATACTTTCATCTCCTAGAAGGAAGAGTTTGATGTGCTTTTTTGCCTTACACATGTATGGATATACATACAAGGGTATTCATACGGCGTATGATGGTATCACTCTATCATTAATAAACCCAATAGACTCTGCTTCTGAAGACATTATTTGTATATTACTGTAAGATCTGTTTCTTAAATCCTTTAAATCATTCGTGTGGTACTTTTCAAAGTGATCCCTTTTGTAAAATATTTCAGAACTTCAAAACCCAGAAAAGAACCTGGTAGTGGGAATCAGTTACCTTGGGGACAAGCGTCAGTGTAATTTTTGTGTTTCTCATTCCTCATATGTATCTCCAAGGACCACACTGATTCTTTAAACAACATGTACATCAGATTATCTTCCACTTTCTTCTCTTTCCTTCCTTGTAACAGTTTGTCATTGTTACTACTTGTTTTGGTACTACTGTATCACATAGTGGTCCTTGATCCAGGTTTCTTCCTTTATTTTTATTACCTGGTATTGAAACAAGAGGTAGAAGAGGTTCAGATAAGAAAAACAGTGAAACAGTACCGGCCAATTAGATAGAGAGCAGTCCTGGCAGAACTGCACGCTTTCATTACATCTTTGTAGGTATTATTTGGCAAAAGTATTCAGAGGAAAATGATGCATGAACAGGCAGCATGGAAGATTGCACACAGATGCTTTTAGGGAAGTGTAACAAATGGGGAATGAAGGTTGGCACTAGTGATAAATGTCATTTGAGACGGTGACAACTTGGTCAGAATGTTATGGTTGGAAGTGGCAGGTTTTTGTTCCTTTTTTTTTTTTTTTAAAGTTAATCTCACATTTGAAGATGATGATTGACAATGTATTGAAGACAAGGGTGGACAAAAAATAAAATGGTTTTAATCTACCTGTCTTAGTAATTAGTATTATTTTCAGTTATTGTTGTAAATAGTCACGGTGAAAAATTATGCAGTGTTCAGGAAACTTACTAAAAATGGTATCTTTTAATCTTCAGAACCCGTTTCTCAAGGAAGAATTGTGGCATATTTATTCAAAAATACTTTCAAGATTGTGTAGCTTATGAACAATCTGGTGGGCTGTGCACTGGAAGAAGAGTGCTGGCATTGGGATTCTACTCTTCTTAATGGAGAGAGGGGAAATCTAGCAAAAGGGAGCAAATTTACCCTCCTAGATCGTCAGAGGGATTTGCCTTCTCAGTGGACTGTACAGAGGATTTAGGCAATTATGTTAAACAGCTTTCCTCGTCTTGCTCTGACTTTCCCTGTCTTCATGCTCTGTTTTCTAGTGTATCATCTAAAATGAGATACCAGGGTACGTAATAAGCAGTGGATTGGTTTCCAGCTGATATAATTGTATTGTAGAGGTACTGCTCTGCTTGCCGATCTCTTTTCTGAGGTTTTATTATTCTGTTACCAATCTCCTAAGCAACCTTGAAAGAACTACTGATGTTGTTTATAAAATCAATGAGCTTGCAATGTTTAGAGGGCTTCAGAAAAATATCATGTGGAGAAGAAAAAGGATGCCCTGTAGCATTTAATACGAATTGGTGAGCAGCCTGTCAGCTAAGACTTGAAAAGGAAAAAAAAAGAACAAAAAGAAATCAATTTAGAATGACCAGCAAGTCATAGAAAAATTCGCGGATGCCTCAGAATTCAAATATGTGGTGCATATTTTACCCTGCTGTTCACTCTACTTAATGTTCAGAAGTTTAGCTTCTAATTTAGCAGAATCATTTTGTAATAAAAACAAAGTATATTTGTCCAGCCCACTCAACATTTTTGAGATCACAGCAGTTAAATCAGCTGTTTCTTTTAGAAAATACGTCAACTACATTTGGCATCCCCGGGTATTTTCTGGTGGCTCTTTGGGTGGCACTCCTTCCTCAGTGGGTGCTACACAGAAGTCAGAGTGCTTCCCTGTGGCATTGTGCTGCTCGTGGCCTCGTTTGTCATGGAAGAGTCATCAAGGTATTGAATGGGTGTGCTGAGTGATTCCGTGTCGCACATGGCTGAGTTCAAGTTGAGGAGCCCCGACATAGCCACTGTCCCGGTCTTGAGATAGTTGGGATACCGTACCTGTGTTCCTTTTTCATTTCGATCATGCAGGCTGCATTTGTTTCATGTTCTAAGTTGTTGCTTTGCTATGTGGGGTTTTGACTACAGAAGTTAATGGTTGATTAATTATACACTTGATGCATAATTTCTTTCATTTTCAAAACAAAGGTTGTCCTAATGTATGGGTGATCAATATTTAATTACTTGAAGATTTCAGGGAGTAGGGAATGCCTCCTGTGTAATTTGCAGATCCTGCAACACTTCTCGTTCTTTGAAAGTATCAGTGCTCAAGACTGAAAATGCTAAGCTAATCCTTTTTCCAATTCTGTATAATAGAAATGTATCAGAAATTCAGTAACGAAAAAAAGAGGTTGCAATATTGTTTCCATTCTTATTTTTGAGATAGCGTCTCTGTTTTAGAGTAAACTTATTGTGTTTGTAATTGAGGAGATACTTGGTAAGTTTTCTTTGATTAGTTGAAGTATTTTACCAATCAGTCACCTGGTTCAATGTTAATAAAAATGGGGGTTTTAAAAACAAATACATTCAGTCAGGCTGAAGTACTTGTTAGTATTAATTTGGGTAGGTAAGTTTGTTTGAATTTTTGTAGCATATGGAATAGTCTAAAATATTCCAAAAGGATAAAGTTTAATGTCATAGCAAATAGGCCTTAGAGAAAATACGGAATTCTGTTGTACTTAAAACTTCTGAGAAATGGAAACAAATATTTCAGTTCTGAATAGAGGCATCAGTTATAAAATGAAAATTTTTTTGGCAGGACTACTTTTTAGTAGTCCTTCTACAGGACTTTTTTTAGTCTGTTGTCAATTATTTTCACAGGCTGATCCAAAAGCGTTGATTCAGCTGGTCACAAAGCATGTTACTCAGTATGGCTATACAGACTGGCCTGAAGAAATCGCAACTTTGATAAATCAGCTGCATTACTACAATGAACGACTACTGGATTTCACTCAAGCTCAGATTCTGCAAGGACTTGGCAAAGGAGTGGATGTGCAGAGGTTTACAGCAGATGGACAGTACAAGAGAGAAACAATACTAGGATTGGCAGAGTAAGTAATGTCTATGTTTATTTTCTTTATTTTAAAATGGAATTACTTTAAGCTGTAAGTCAGGAAAGTAAATTGAAAGTAGCGCTGACCTTTAGAAGAGATAAATTACCAGTTGCTTTAGATATTTACACTGTAATGCTGCTACAGCTGGACTCTTTTCTACTCAACTATTCCACTTAAATGAAATGTTGCTCAAATAAATGGATCGATAACTTTTAATTGAAGCTATAACTCCTTGTTTATTAACTGCTAATATTAAAGTTAATCAGGGATGAATGAAATCAGAGCACAGGTGGAGGTCTGATCTCTTCCTTTCATGTCCTGTAAACCTGCCCTAGCAATCTGTTGGGGCACACCCAAGCATCAAAGTTTGTAATGAACTATATTACAACTATATTATAACGATGTTACAAAATATTAATAAACTGTATTTTATTTTTAATAATTTAATTAAAGCTACTGTATATTACAGTAGTTTTCCCTGTAGTCATTTGGAATTACTGAATCTTTCACTGCATATGTTCTGATATTTACAATGCTTTTTTCTCATGTTTCAGTTATCCAGAATACAAAAAAAGGAAAGATACAGGATAGTACTGTCTTTTAATTTTAAAAATACCTTTAACATCTGCATGCAGGTATTTTAAGAGGTGTACAAGTCATGAATATATATAAAACGTACAAGCATATATACTTGTTATATATAATGTATATACATATTATATACATGTTTTGAAGGCAGTCACAGCTGAATAGCTGCTAGACTGTCAAAGAAAGAGTTCAGTGAGAAGCTTTTAAATAATTTTTAACCTAATTTTAAACTACTCTCTGCATACGGCTCCTGAAGAGCGTATTTAGTTGTTTACAGTCTTCCACCTATGTAGCTGCTCATAGCTACAATTCCAATAGAAGTTTGTTAGTAAAAAACAATGATATGAAATGCTGAGTAACGGAAGGAGTATAACCTCAGGTTTTGAACACTAATTAAGCTGCTGCTTTGCATCTATAAAATCTATACCTGCTTATATTTTGCACTGCATTCATAAAAATAGCTTGTAAGCATCTTTTAATGTTTCCATTGGAGTTACCTGTTTTGTATGTATTGTTCATTGAACACATGTCCTGTGAGTAGCATGTCAGTAGGTGAATGTTACTGTAGATAATCATCAAGGTGTAACTTCAACACAAAAATCCTTCTGTTATTACAGATATTCATTTTGGATGCAGCACGGTTACGTACATGATCATCCAAGAGTCCTTTAGATACTGTCTTTCATAAAAATAAAGTAAATATGAAGAGAAAGTTCCTTACAGGAAGTAGAATTGGAACACAGTATGGCAGGGCTAGTAAAAATCAGGCTTCATAGTGTGTGGATGAGGGTGGTAGTTTGGTGTTAGGCAGTTGCAGTGATCCAACTAATTACTTGTTCAGCTTGCAGGTTCCTTGCTTTAATCTTCTCAGCTCACTCTTAATCTGCATTTTCTAATGAAGACAATGTGCAAATTCAATATAATTGTGTAGCATATTTTTTCTTATTTTTGGCTTATCATTAAGTGCCTCATGTTTTTAATCTTTTATGAAGTGCTGTTTACAGGAACAATACCTGGAAGAGATGGTATCTTATTTACAAAACAGCTTTGTACTAGAATGAGCAATTTGCTAAAACCGCTTAACAAATAGTTGTCAATTTTATCTTTCCTATTTGGTGTATTGCCATTAGAGCTTATTATGCATTATTTATAAAATATTTAAAGATCTGGGTGCCTCACGGACTTAACCAAGGTTAGTTCTCTAGCAGTTAACAATTTATTTGGGCAAAATAGAGCCAGAATGTATCTCAAAAGGAATTAGGGAAACTAGAGCAAGACTGAATGGGAATTCTTGAATAATCAGGTGAAGTCCTGTGTAGTTCAGGCCAGCTGTGGTATATAAGGTTTCTAAATTCTTCTTTTACTGGAGTCCAGTTTTTGGGTGGCTTTTTTTTTTTTTCTTCATTCACCTGCTTTGAGGTCTTCAGCCCTTCACTGCTTCTCTTAAAATGTTGACATCAGAAGTTGACTTAAATGATTTAATACTAATTTCTTCCTTGTCTTATGTCACCAATCTGAAATACTTATTTTAGATTTTTTAGAAAAATTGTGCAATTATTAAGCAATCTGAATTTCATAACTTAGCTTGTGCTTATTGGTTTCTCAGAATGATTTTGGTGCATATGAACTAGGTCCCTTTCCAGTAGACTAAACCAGAAGGTTCTATACAAAACTACATTGAATATACTTAAGCTTTTATTAGTGACATGAGCTTCTGAACCATTGTGTATGCTTCTGCTATACTGCTCTGCTCTGTTGCCAGTATAGACACAGCCTTTTCTCCGTGATGCATTGCTGCTGCAGAACTTAACACACAGTTGTAGCCTTCCATCTCATTTTCCTGCTTCAAACATGAGAGGAAACTAAAGGCTCTTGGCTTAAATTTTCATTTTACTTCTCCCAAGTTGGATTTAAAAAAAAAAAAAAAAAATAACCCCAAGAAAACGTTTTTTGAGGAGAGGCAACTGGAAGAGTGGATCTCATTTCCCGTTACTATGATTGAATCCGATGGTGGTTCTAATGCTTTGTAGCTGATTTCAACAGAAAATGTTGAAGACAGCGATTGTGAGCAAACACATGCACATGGGTGATACAACAGTGGTTTTAGAGAACAAGATAGAAGCTGCCAAATGTTTTATTTCTGTGAGCTTGAAGATAGGCAGCAAAACCCCAGCTGAACGCTACTGCACAGGCATATGTTTTGGTACCTTCACAGGCATATTTATTGGTACTTTCGCAATGAATACCAGCACACAGGCAGGGTGGCGAAGAGCCATGCACAAGAACTGCTTCTGACTTTGTTTTCGCACCAGTGCAAAACCAAGTCATTCCCGTGAAACGAGGCAGAGGCAGTACACCCAGACTGCGCCCGCACCGGAGCCTTCAGCGGGCATTTCTCTGGCAGGCTTCAGGCTCACGGAGACAGGCAGTTAGAGCTGGGCATGAAAAGAGGTATGCAACAACAGCAACAAAAAAAACTGCAACAAAAAACCCCGTAAAAGACACACCCCCCCACCCCGAAAAATGGGTTAAGAGGTCCTTTCCAAGGCAATGGCCATTTTTTCAGCTTTTCATTGTGTGACACCTACTTGTTCTTGTCTTGTCAGTATTATCTTGACAATGAATAGCTTGGGCACCACTGAAGAGAGCTTGGCTCTCTCCTCTTTGCACTGTCCCATCAGGTGTTTCTATACATTGATGAGATCCCCTTGAACCTTCTGTTCTCTAAGCTAAACAGTCCCAGCTCTGTCAGCCTTTCCTCATACAAACAATGCTCCCGTCACTTCATCATGGTTGTGACCCTTCACTGGACTCGCTCCAGTAGCTCCATCATTCAGCTCAGAACTGCTCACTTCAGAAGTTGTTGTAGTATTTACTTTTTAAGTAGAGGGTTATTCCTAAAGATCATATTTTCCTTCTGTCAAGATATTCTGTATCTGAATTGATGATATAAGGAAAGTAATGTATTGTACTTTTTTTTTTTTAATTAATGAAAGTATTGAGATGAGCGTTGAGGATTAGCCTGCAGAGCAGTGCCTTTAACCTCATCAGTCCAGTGTACTTTTTCCTGAATATCCTCTGTTATCTTCCCCTTAGCCAGTGGCATACTTGCTGTGCATCAGTCTTCACCTTCACTTTAACTAGTAATCCACTTGTTGTCAGCACATCAAATGCTTTCTGGAAAAGGCAAAGGAATGTAAGTTTACATATGTGTTGTAATTTGGGAACAGCTGTTGTGTATCCCTGGTTAAAAAAAAGATCTGCTTTCATGTACTGAATGACAACCTGCACAAACTGGAATTTACAGTGTAGTGTTGTCATGGTACTTCTCCTGAACGTCAAAAAATAGAAAAGAGCATCTGTCTTTAAAGAGTAGATGACTCTTACTGAGTATTTTTGAAAAAGTTTAGAACACCATCCTCTTATACATACATCATTCCTTGCTGGGTTAAAAAGTGTTCTGATGTTTGCATTGAAGTATTGAGCCTAGTTTCAAGAGGGTGGGTACAGGCAGCCTTGTTGTACTGGAAAATCAGAGGGAAAGTGCTGTGGCCATTGCAACAGGAGAGACAGGATAGTGTGTAGGATTTTTTTTCTTTCTTTTTTTCTTCTTTCTTTCTTCTTAAATATATTCTTAAAATACATTTCTTTATTTTAATGTTAATGCTTGTGGTCTGCCTCTAATTTACATACATCTTTTTCTGTGTAAAGTGCCTAATATTTTTCAGGGGTTGTCATAACTAAGAATCATTACAAGAGATGTGTGGGTTTTTTTATTTGGGGGAGGTCTGTTTGTGTGTTTTGTTTTTTAACTATTAGAGCAACAGTTACAATGCAAAGGCTATTCTGATAGCTGGTTGTGAAGATTTTTCAGCATTATGTTCTTTCTTGGCATTTTGCTTTTCTACTCTGCATCCTATATCTTATTTTAATTCTACAATATCTATAGCAACTATCACAGTGGAATGTAATGATATGCTGTATTGAGCATCTAAAAATCAGAGTTGAGCTGTATGGATGTGTCAGCTGCTCACCTAGGGTGGAGAGAAAAGTGTACACTCCAGCTGTAAGCCTTGTTTAGCGTAGATCAAGACATGGTATAGATCTTGATAAATGACAAAAAAGAACTGGGAGGATGCACTCTCTAATCTTTAGGGTTTTTATGCTTTCCTTTTATTGTCAGAAATGGATAATGATGATGGTACAGAAAATGTTATACTAAAAGTTGCCTCACATAAAGTCTCCCGCCTACCCCCCAGTATTAGAGAAAACAATGTAATGAACCTAAGGAAGGTGTTAAACATATGATAAGGTCACTTAAGTTTTTGGAGTTAACATGAGTCTGTAGATGAGTGATGTTAATATAATTTTGTAAACTAATTTACTGACAGTTGCAATTGTATTTTGTAAGAGTTCATGTTGGGTAAAGCTTTTTTCTTTGTCCCACATGACTTTTTAATTAAAGAATCAAAACCACTATGGTCAGCAGTATTTACATTAAATTAATTTTTTAAGAAGTATTTTGTGACGGGTCTGTTAGGATGTAATTACAAACAGATAGTATTTTTCTTGGAATTATTGTCGGAAAAAAAACCAAACCAAAAGTAAAAAACAAAACCCAAAAAACCCTGCATCAACCTTAATAGTTCTATATTGCTTCTATACCAGCAGAAAAACAAAACCCATGTGTGTCTATTTGAGTCATACTAGCTTCGGTGGATTGGTAAAAATGAATATGGAATTAACTTCATGCTTTCACCACTTAACAGATTCTCCATCTATTGTTTTATTAAAGGGATATACAGTAGCAGAAAACCAGCTTTTAATATTTCTTGGACATTTACAGAGTGGAGCTGGACATTTCCACACCTTCTTTTAGTCTGCAAATACTAAGAGTGTTTCTGTCTGTGAATTTCTAGGAAGAACTTTGAGGACCTACATACCAGTTGTGCTAAAAGACTGTAGGTGTTGCAACTATATGAATTAAATGTTAACTGTGACACATTACATGCTCTATCACTTCGTAATTGAAGTTAAATGAAAACCGAGGTTTTTGCTTTAGCACAAAGGTTAAGCAGAAACTGTCATTGAGAACCAAAGTATATGTGGAGCAGGTGCCTGTCTTTAGAACATCTCTAGTTTGAATTTAAAAAAAATACTAAAAAGAAATCATTACTTCTTTAATGTAAATATTTATTTTCATGTCATGTCTCTAGGAGCTTAATGTAACTTTTCCTTGTTTTCTTTCCTGCTTCTCCTCTACAAGAACACTTGAAGAAAATGTCTACAAGATTGCTGTTTCTTTGGCTCAGCGATACAGTGTTCCACTTTGGGAAGTTTATATGACCCATCTGGAATTCTTGTTCACAGACAGTGGGTAAGTGGTCTCCCCTGCAAATTCACACAGGATTCTGTTACGTAGGAATGTGTGCTAACCTATGAGAAAATCGAAGTATATTGGGGATAGAGTTTGGTTTATGGTTTCACATTTCTTGTGATGTGATAGTTTGTGAATTTTTTTGTCTTTTTCTTGTGATGCTTTTGTAACCAGACACAAAAATAGGTGCTATAAGCAAGGTTATAAGTCCGTATGTGTCTTATTATTCCTGTAAGTATCCTGGGACTTTGTTTCAGTGTTTAGGTTTCCACAGCTTTGAATGCTTAGTGCTCTCTTCTGATAGCAATTTATCTTACAGGTTTTTTTACAGTCCGTTGGAATATGTCCTGAAGCTGTATAGTTTTTATATAATTATTTATTTAAAAATAAAGTTTTGCTATTTATTGATCTCTTTCCTACATAATAGCAAAGGAAATAAATACATTGGAGCTTCCGATTCATTTGTTCATCTCAGTTTCAGTTTTTTATAGAAATGCTTTTTTTACAATATTTCTTTGGAACTATTCTAGCCTACAAGAATATGGCAGACCAGACCTGGCATTTGTGGGGAGTGTGGTGAGGAGGGGTGCTTTTCTTTTCTTTTCCAAAGTTGATTCCAGGGCGCTTTTTTTTTTTTTTTTTAAATTAAAAAAACCCCACAACAACAAACTTTATTCATCTTTCAGTGTGCAAAAGGTGTCTGTCAGACTGACAAGATGTCAAACCCATTTCGATGAAAGACTAAGGCACTTGAGTAGTGCATTTGGATGACAGTGATGTAGAGCCCCCTGTATAATACAGCAGCTCTTACCTACTGTTCTGAGGGACGTGATCAGATTAGTCTAGTTTTTTTCAAATTTTAAATTGTGAAAGCAGCTTTAGCTTTGTACCTCTCTTAACATCAACTATTAATTAAAAAGCATTAAAATGTTTCATAAAACATGAGGCATAAAAAACCAAAGCCTGATAGATGTTGGTGCAAGATCTGAGAAGATGAAATAACACCTTGAGATTTCTTTTGCTTCCTACAGAAAACAGAGAAGTAGTACCCTCTAAATTCTGATCCTGCTAAATTATTTAGTGCTTTAAACAAAAGAGACAGTCAGGGTATAAATATGGCAACACTGGGGTGAATGTGAAAGAGCCAGCTGACTTCTTTGGGACTAGGATATTACCTAAGGTATTTTGCAACAGTTTTCTATCATTTTCTTTGTTCTTGTCCTCCATGAGTTAGTATTCATAGAATTCTGAAATCACTGAAGTACGAAGTAACAACCTTTTCCCTAATGAAATTCAAAAAAAGTCTTGAAAATTGATGTATAATAGTTTAATATGCTGCTGAGCATGTTTTTGTTGTATCATAATCTCATTTTAAAGTTGATTGACAGCATATGGCCATTACAGTATATTTTAGTCTTGGGATTATGGCATTAATAATGCATGCCTTGTTATGCATTCATTCTGAACTGAAAAGAAGTTTATTCTAAGACTTAATCTCTTTAACCAAATATGCAGTATTTCTATAAGCCACTTTATGTAGGGAGAAGCTCAAAAGAAGCACTTACATAGTGTAGATTAACTGTTTCTTTGATTACTAGATGACAAATAAGCATCATGTGTTTTTCTGGTATGCTGTGATTTTGAGTCTGATGAAAATGGTTTAGATTTTTTTTTTTAAATTCAGTGGAAATTTAATTTTTTCTGTTGAAGAATATGATCAAATTTGATTACTGAATATCTATGAAATACATTTTATTATTTCAGGAAATGTTATGTTTGCCTGTCACAGAATCCATTATTCCAGAATCTTTCTGAACAACATAATGAACCCTTCCACCTTCTCCTTCCACCCCTGCACCCCAAAAACACACAGCAAACCTCTGCGGATCCTGTCAGTATAATTTAATTTAGTTTAATTTAGTTAAACATAATTTAATTTACTTAATTTTGTCCATTCTAAGTGTCTGTTTTGTTTTTTATTTACATACAAAAGACTTGTTTTGTCTTATTTATATATCTTTTGTCACATAAAAAGTGAATGATGCTTTATTTCCATTAATACTGTACTTATTTCCATTAAAATAGTAGAACACTTAAATAACAAGAATTTAGAGACTTAAAATAATGCTTAGAAGTTCAACAAACTGACTGGGGTAGGTTCTAGATGTAGAAATATCTCAAAAATAACTTATTCTCCCTCAGAAATCAGAATTTCCTTTTAAACTGAGGGAAGGTTGTGTTTGTGGTATTTGCAGCAAGAAAGTCATCTTTAGGAATGAAACTGAGATGTATTTTACATGGATATCAAAGAGAAATACTAATTTATGTGGGGCATTTATACATAGGAGAAATTGATACTGAAGTTCAAATTTAATCAATTTTAAAAGTTTAAGAAATTCAAATGGCATTAGATGACATCAAATTTCCAAGTGAAATGTACTACCTAGCATGGCGTATGATTGGACTCTGGGCACAATCAAGGTGGTAGTCATCCATAGGTGACTTCTTTCCTCAGATTTTTGGTAAAACTTTCAGATGAGAAAAGGTATAAACCTAGGATAAGTCTCTCTTGATACGCACCCATCTTTATCCCAGCTGAGAAAGAAGGAGTGATTGCACTCAGGTATCTTTTATGTAGTCAGCTGGAGGTGTCTGAATTCACGCTGTGAAACAGCTAATGTATGCTTTTCAAAAGAGTCAAGAAAAAAGTTTCCTGAAGCGGTGAGACGGGCTGAGGTCAACCCACGGCTTGCTGATATTTTCGTAAGTTTTCATGGGTGACAGTTTGAGAAGCAACTTGATAAAACTGTCAAATGAGATATGCTAAGCATGGATAATAGTGTCAAATAGATTAACTAGTGGGCAAGAGCCAATTTTCAGTGATAACATCTCTCAAAGCATGCAGAGGTGCTCATCTAATAGAGAAAATGGAATGTAATAGATTGGGAGAGCTTCTGACTGGGGAATAGGATTTTCTAGTATTTCTCAGCCACAGGGGGGTTTGTCTGTCTGTGTGTGTTTGTTCGTTTGTTTTTTAAAAAAAAGGCTTCCTGTACCAAAGGCTCAGGATCTATGGGTACATTAGCTATAATTAGACACCTGAGGTGCTGCTTTGAATCCCACAAGTATTCATGACACTGAAATTTGCATGTCCAATTCACCAGATAAGATTAGGAAATACAAGAGATTTTTAGATTTTGTTTATGGAGAGTAACAACTATCTAAATATTTATGAATGAGTATTTACTCTTCTAAAATGTCTTACAAAGTTGAACCTTAAAGGCACGTATTGTCCTGTCTCCCAAGTGTGCAGCTGAAGGGTCTTTCATGGCATGTTCAGGCCTTTAAAGCCAAAATTGTTTCTAAACACAGGTTATCGACACTGGAAATAGAAGAACGAGCACAAAGTCTTGGCCTCTTTGAGACTTTGAAAACCAGTCCTGAAACCTTACATGAACACATGGTTAAATATGTTTACCCAAGTATTGAAGGTAGAGATCATCAGCGGTTGCTTTATTATTTTACACTCCTTGAAAATTGTGGTTGCTCAGAAGTGGTGAAGCATGCTGTTAAACCTGAAACTCACATCCGACTCCTGAAAAAATTCAAAGCAGTTGCACCAGGTAGGAGAGTTCCTGTTTCTTTTCTTCATAGCTGTATTTATTATTCTGTTATGTGAGTGTTGACATGATTATGCTTATGTAGTTTATACTCTCCAGGTAATTTTTTTCAATGAACATATCAGATGAATGCAAGTAATTTAGTAGTTTAGTCATATCTTACTATAGTAAGTTCCTCTTTGAATTACTGGAATTTTGGTTTATCACAGCAAGCAAAAAATAGTTAAAAACAGGTCCCTATTGGTGGTGCAAGTTAAAATTATTGGCAGTGATTCATAGTGAATTTTTAAAGAAAAAAAACAGACCTCCTAGAGCACAATTTTTAACACTGCAAATTTAACATGAATATTCCCAAAGAACTTAAGACTGTTTACCTTTCAAAAGTCTGAATTACATAATGTATCAGGACCTTTAAGCAAATTTTTGTTTGTTTGTTTTAAAGGGAGTAATTTTATTTTGTGTTTTATGCTTGATGTTACCTTTTGCTTTTGCAGAACTACAGCATTATTTGTCCTCTTACATTATCAGACAATGTCTATAAAAGTGAGCTGCTGGAAAGCACTCTGAAATTTTGAATAATAGTTTCAATTTTCTTGTTAGTCAAGTATTAGCATTTAAATTTAATTACTATTAAATTTCAGCTGAATAACTTCAAATCCAGTTTCAGAATGCAAAATACACACGGTATGGGATTACCTGCTGTGGGGACGAGTTAATTGTTCAGTACTGGAACCTCATGTGTATCAGACACTGTATCACGCTAACTTTGCTGCAGAATTTGGAGAGATTGTGCATGTGAATTTATGTATTGCAGGAAGAAAAAAGGCACTAATATTTTTTGGCAGGAGGGATTACCTTCAGTTCTTATTGATATGTTTAAACACTCAAGTTCTACAGTGCTTGTCAAAGAAAAATACATCAAGAAGTTATTGTTTGCCTTCAAAGTTATTTTAAAGTGTTACTCAAAAAAATAGTCTTGGGACCATACATCAGACATAAATTAGTCACTTTGTATGGTAAAAAATTAAATCTATTGTATTACACCATTAATTCTCAGTGTTCAGCGTAGTTTATAGATACTAGAAAAGGAACAACATCAAAGCATTGTAGATGTTACAGGCCCTAAGTATATGAAGAAACACACGGCAATAGAAGTCAGTTCTCTTAGGAATTATATGCATAGAGAGTAAAGCAGTATTGTTGCTAGAAGTATTTTGTAGTGCTAGAATAATTTGCAAGAGTTTTCTTCCTGTAGGAACCGAAGTGGTAACAGGACTCTTGTATTCGATAGATATTCATGTAGATGGATCTACATGTCCTGGCTCTAGCTGACCTTACTTAGCTTACTTGTGGTTAGTGCCTTGCATTTTTGCTGAGATGGGTAGTAAGTGCGAATTGTTACATGATCAGAATACATCTTTTTTTAATTAATGAAGAGTTATGTATTGAGGTGCATGAGATTTTCTAGGATTTGAATTAAAAAAATAGTAGCAGAATTCTATTTACTATATATATATTCTTGCTTCTTTGAGAATCTGCTTTTTTAGCTCGTATCGATACGTAATGTTAAAATATGTACCAGCAATTGAGAGATTTCACACACATCAGGACATCATAAAATCCCAGTGTTAACTGTATACAACCCTGTCTTCCTCCCCAGTCTTTCAGTATGTGTGATTGTAAAAGGAAATGGGGTAGTCTTTCTAGTTCTGCAGGTACTGTCTTGGTACTGATGGTTTACACATAAATACAGAGTTTGAGTAGATTTAACGATGAATAACTTGTATTTTGTTTGCCTCTTTCTCCTTTTGTCAATAGGTCTTAATTACAAAAAGCTAACAGATGAAAATGAAAACCCTCTGGAAACACTGGAGCCCATCCTTACAAGTCAAAATATCTTATCTATTTCCAAACTGGCTCCCAAAATTCCTAAAAACGATGGCAGCATGCTGTCAGCAAGCTCTATTTATGCTGTCTGGTTACAAAAACTTTTTTGGAATGGCGATCACCATCTCATTAAAAAAATACCAGAAGCCATGGATGAATGGCTACATGCGTATGATATGTGTTCAAAGTACTTGGATAGACTTGATCCAGATGATATTGTGACTTTTATTGATGAAATTACCTTTTCTTCCAAAGCTGTCACAAAGGTAAGCAGATATATTTGAAGAATTTCAGGCCTCAGGTGAGGCACAGTTGAATGTGGTATCAAGGAGAAAGTCTCAGCAAATTTTTACATTTTTCATTTTAAATTCATAAACCTACCTCCCTCTGCTTACATCCTCTTTTTATGCCTGCCACCACACAAAAAGATTTTTATTCAGTTAGAGGAGTTAGCTCTGTGGATAAGAGAGTTTTTGATGGAACCTCGAAGTCCCTGTATTCTGGTTCAGCAATGTGTATTTATTTATCTTACTTCTGCTCATCCTAAAATTCATTGTGCTGCAGGCTTGTGTCTAGTACCAGGCTTTTGCATTCAGAATAGGATGCTCCACAGAGAGGTGTTCTGGGCCAACACATATGGTTTCTAGGCACTGTAATAATATAAATGATAAACTCTGTTGTAATCTCCATCTGGCTGAACGCCTGTTACTGAAAGAACGTGCTTTCATGTCTGTAACATCTACTACCAGATCTGCAGTTTCTTTTTGCCCAGTGAAACCTACTTATGAGGATATTTCTAACGTAAAGTTTTACCCATGCTTTCTTGTGTGTCTTTACTGAGAAGCACAAAAAACAGATGAGATTTCTTAGATATTTCCTTATTAAAAGATCTTGAGATATCTTCACTAACTTAATCTGAAATGAAAAGATGATGAAGGGGAGGTATTTTGTGGGTTTTTTGTGTCTTTTTCTCCTCTATTCTGGATTTGCCTATTTTCCAGGTGTTTATTCACTGTGTTCAATGAGGTATTGTTTGTTCCCTTTTTGGATATTGTTTTAGTGTTCACACAATATTAGTATAAATTTATTAGAACCCATCTAACCTGTATCTATATCAGAATTTGGAGAAAAAAAAATTTCTATTGATTGAAATCCTGGGAAAATAAAAAGCTGTCTGTCATGCTACTAATAGTCCAACACATCTTATCACTAGTCCCATCAGCTGTCTCTTAAGCCTGTTCCACAGAACTACTGGTTTTTTTTAGTAGTTTTGATCCTTTTTATCACATAAGCGTACTGAGTGTTTCATGCTTCTCAGGAAAGGCTGACACTCATCCTGAGATCTCAGTTGCCACACGTGACCCTGGACTGAGGTAGCCAGGGGATGACTCTTGTCTAATGAGAAAGAAATACTGTCTTCATGTATGATTGTCACTAGTGACTACTTCAAACTCTTGCTGTTAATGTACCTTGGGCATTTCAAGATTATTTCTCATTTATTGCAGATGAATGATGCAGGGAGAGAATGGATAGCCTCCACTGTGTATCCGTTTTGAAACACAAAACTTTATTTTGATTTGTTTATTTCTGCTCAGGATTCTGATACAATTTCTCTGTACTCTTAAGATGAGTAGGAGTAGCAGGAAGAAGATACTGAGGACAAGGTTATTGTGATTGGTGTCCAAGCAGAACTTTGTAGCAGAAATCTGTCAGCTTTTTGGTCAAGAAACTCAAGTGTTTGAAGCAGCTGATCAAATCAGCTTCTTTAGTGTGTCCCTTGAACTGAGCTTGGGAATGCAACAGCTGTTTAACCCGCTTGCAATCAGTCTTGCTTCAGGATCCAAACCAATTTTCAAATGGAAGAATACTATGAAAAATTATCATTGTAGAACCTGAAAACTTATTTCTCAGAGATATTTTTCCTCTAACCTTGATCTGAAGAATGCTTCATAAAAGCTGCCTTTTGTCTTGCCCCTTTTGCTTAAAATTTTGTCATGTTTTGAGGCCATGCTGGTCATCCAGTCACTCCTTTAACTCTAATTCAGCTTTGTTTCCAGCCCAGTTATATGGCCAAGGACTTTATTATATTAGTTTCCCATTCCCATAACAGATGTGTGTTTCTGTATTTCATGGAAGCACTGCTATTTAATATACGTAAAGGACTGCATAAAACCATGGTGATTACCATGAAATAATCTGTGCTGTCACTGAGACATCTGAGCTTTCTCACATACAGAAAATTTGTGGTATTCTTTTAAATGGACCTTGAGAAGAAGCATCAAGTGAGATAGTGTAAGTAGGATTTTTAGAAGTTATGAGAGGTGAATTGGCTCCTCCCTCTTTGCAAAAAGTAACTGCTGCACACACACACCACTTTCAACACCCCCCCAGATTTCAAATGGAGGGGTGGAAGAGAGAGAAAATAGTCTAGGGAGGCAATGAGAAAATGCACTCCATCCTTATCCTTGTGGAACAGGATCATCATCTAAAAGCCCCTCATGGTCGGAAATAATCAAGAAAAGTCTTGAGGGATGAAGGGTAATGGGAGGTAGGCTAAGTAGCATGAGTTGAAGTTCCAGGGTACTGTTGTCTTTGCTGTTGTTATGGCATGGGAACTTAGGAAGCTGACATAAGATTGTCCCCCGCTGTTTCAGTGTAGCAGCAGCAATAAAGAGAGTCAAGTGATGGGCTAGCAAAGCAATAGGAAACCTCTTCTACTTGGCTGTCCCTTGATATGACAGAGAAGCTGGGAGCAGAATGCATTATTGTACAAAAGGAAATTAAAGCACAGGCATTTAGTGCAGATTTCTGTAACTTCTCGTTCTTAGTGAGGTAGCGAGGTGCTGGGCTTTGGCAGGGGCCCTCTTCTTCACCTGTCTCCTTCCACTCACCCTTCTTTTTACTTTATTTTTTCAAACCTCATGTGTTAGCATGAGACAATCCATTTATATGTAATGTCAGAATAATTACAGCATGGAGCATAGATTGGTAAAGAAGCGAGGGTACCTGGAGGTCTGATTTATTATGGAATCTTCCTCCTGGTCACACAGAGAAATAGTTTGTATTTACATTGTGTGAGGATGCTGTAGCTGCTAATTTCATCATTGCTCCTTCTGTGCTAGTAAATGGACATCTGAGAGGAAAGAGGTAGTATTGAAGATGGAAGGATAATTAACTTTCTGATAAGTTGAGTCAGTGATGACTGAATGGAAAGGTGGATGAATGAGCAGTGCTTGACTGGGCAAAGGAGTCGAGAGAATGTCTATATTGGAGAGATGGATGGAGGTTTACACATGTGAAAGGGCAATTAATATTATTATGCTGATGTGTAGTGTAGGGTATGACAAGGTTTTAGGTGCCTGCATGTTCATCTAAGAGCTCATCATCTCATCAGATACTCTTTCCTCCCATGTTTCTTGCAGTCAGTAGAAATCAGTTATGACCTGGAAAATGAGATTCTGTTCCACAGCCTTAAAGATCCAGAGAAATGGTGACATTGGGTGGTGGAAACTGTGTGAGCAGAGATGCATCATAGTGGGACTTTAATAAATAATAGACTCAAAGTAACAGAATATGCAGTACATTAACCATGTATAAGGCAGATGAGACTACTTCCCAAAGTTTAGTATTTTTTGATCTGCAGCATATTCTGTAAGAGATGTTTTATAATTTTGAGAGGTTAAAGGTGATTTGTGAATCCATAGTAATCCTTGATTGCTCTAGAGGCTAATTATTCACTGTTTATCGTTTTAAAAATACCTTTTTTGCTAAACTGAATTTATCTAATTTTGAAATTCCACCTATAGACCTTTCGTCTGCTAGATTAAAGACATAATCATCAAAGTTTGCTTCCACAGTCAGACCTTCAGCAGAGGCCACTTAAACTTGAGTTTGATAAACAGAGTGGACTGACCTTGGGAAGCTTTCTGCTTTTCTTTTGATGTGTGGTGTTTGTTTCTGTGGTGGGGTTTTTTAGTGTATTTGGGGGGTTGTTTTGTTTTCTTTTTTCCCCAGCTCTTCCATTATTACCACAGTTCTTCTTTGGATCCAGTGTATGAGCATCCATCTTTAATTGAAGAAGGTGGAGATGGATGCAATATTGCTGCTGTGTTTGTGGTAACTGAAAAAAGTGAAATTTTTTACTTGTCATCAATACCTTCAGTTCACACATTGAAGGACCGAAGAATTTTTTTACTATTTTCTTCTTGCTTAAGCAGGAATACAATGTCCACCAAATGGGTGTGGAATGAGAACCTCTTATGCCTGGAGATTAACCTGCATCATTTTCTCTTTCAAATTTAATGACTTTAAATGTCATTTTTGATAATGTATAAAAGGCTCAGTTTAACAAAAAAGCTCAAAGTAATATTCAGTATCTTTTGTCTGGCTGGTTGACTTCTTAACACTGTATAAAATGCTAAGGAAAAAGGCAGGGTGTGACATTGCCTGAAGATGTACAAGAAACGTATTAATAGTGTTCTTACATAGCATGACTGCATTCAGACATTACCTTTTGAATTACTTGGCTTCTTTTTATCTCTTTGTATCACTGTGCTCCAGTTCAGTCAGTTTGTCTTATACGACCTTGTTTTCTTCGTGGGTATTGACAGTACTTCTTTTTCTGGTATCCGTACACTTTTGCATACTTTCTTGTGCCTTGCCAATAATGTAGTTATTCTAACTAAATCTGCTTCAAGACTGCATAATAGCAAACTTCATCAATAATGTCTTTTCTGTAATTGGTTCCTGCATTAGAACTTCTACACTGATCTCCAGATGAACTGTACTGGGTCTGGCAGGGATGGAGTTAACTTTCTTCATAGTAGCCCCTGTGGGGCTGTCCTTTGGATTTGAGACTAAAACAGTGTTGATAACACATCAGAGTTTTGGCTGTTGCTGAGCGCTGCTTGCATTGTGTCAAGGCTTTCTCTTTTTCTCAACACCCCAGCCCTGAGTAGGCTGCAGATATGCAAAAAGTGGGGAGGGGACACAGCCAGGACAGCTGACCTGGACTGGCCAAAGGTGTGTTCTGTGCCATATAATGTCATGCTCAGCAGTAACAAACTGGGGGTTGGAGGGTCTCTTCCAAGGCGGTTCTTGCTTGGAGATTGGCTGGGCATTGGTCTGCTTGTGGGAGGTGGTGAGTGATTGACTTTGTATTACTTAGGTTTGGTTTGTTCGTTTTTTTTTTTTCTTCCTCCTCTCTCCTTCATGTATTAAACTAACTTTACCTTGATCCACAAGTTTTCTTGCTTTTCCTCCTTTTTTTCTGTCCCCCCATAGGAACTGGGAACCAGCTTTTGTTACTCGGTCACTGCTTCACCTACTTCTGAATTAACTAATGTAATTTGCTTTTCATTCAAGTGTATCTGGTTGGCTTGTAGCTACATGACATTTGGTTGGTGGAATATGTAAAGCTAGGATTTAGTGGCAGAGACAGGAACTGGACCAAACTGTTCCATCTGGACATCAGGAAATATTTTTCATTATGAGGGTGACCGATCACTGGCAGAGGTTGCACAGAGAGGTTGGGGAGTCTCCCACATTGGAGATACTCAAAAGACACATGGATATGGTTCTAGGCAGTCCTGCTTGAGCAGAGGGTTTGGACCAGATGCCCTCTAGAAGTCTCTTCCAACCTTAGCTATTCTTTGTTTCAATGCTGCTGGGATCCCAGGTGCCTGTGGCATTAAAAGAATGGGAGCTGTTTCCATCATCTCAAAGTTGCATGCTAATCACTGGCAGGGCCAGCATCTTCACGTGCAAGTGAATGTTACTGGTACAATACTTTATTAAGAAATACTTACATATTCTGAAGGAAGTGGGCTTCTGAGATGAGTTTTTACCCTGAAGAGTGAAATCTGTTGGGCTGATAGAGCATGTGATATTCCTTAATTTGAAAATGAAAGGAAAGAGATTTTTAGGATTTTTCATTACACATTATAGTCTATAGAATAAAAATCTCTTAAAACTATAAAAGCTTTTTAAAAAGAACACTTCACACCTAAACAAAGATTGAACTAGTCCCTAAGATACTTTTTTTTTTAATCACTGGGAATGAATGCCAAACCTCATTACTGAAGCTGACTCGAAGTACAGAGGACAGCTATTAATGTTTTGGAATAAAATAATCAGAGAAATGATATGTTGGTAGTGCTTCATTTTGTCACTATGCAAATATTAAATGCAAAATTAAAATGGTCTTGGGAAGAACCTGTATTGCCTTTTTTAATGCTCTATTCTGTATATGCCGATGGCATCATGACTTCTAAACTAGCAGCATATTCACACTGTTCTCTAAGATATAAGTTAGACGGAATACTTAAATTGCCTCTTGTGTCTCTCTTAATTGCATTTTGAACATTATAATGTACAGTAGAAGGGGAAAAATGAAATCTGTAGCTGTTTTCATCTTTTATCAGGTTTACAAAATGCATATAAAACTCCATCTATGGTCATTAAATTTTAATGTGATATGAAGTGTATCACCTTTTCCCTGCTTACAGTAAGATCTGATATCAAGATCTTGTTCAAAGTAACAAACTTATACATCGTACTTAATTTCTTTTGTTTGTAAATGAGTTGTGTTTGGAATGGAACAGTAAAGTACCCTTTGTATGTACCTTGTTAATGCTGGCAAGTTTTCCTAGCTCTCACAAAAATGTCCACCCATTTTGATTTATCATTTAAATTCAGCAAAAGCACAAAAAAAACCAGGAATAAACCTACAACTTTCACTGAGTGTTGTTTTTTTGGTGTTTTGGTTGTGGGTTTTTTTGTGTTGGGTGTTTTTTTTTTGATGGTGGTGGGGAATTAAGTATATAAGCTGTAAAACTTCCTGCTACCTCATCCTTATCAAGCTTTCTATGGCTTTACAGTAGATAGTTTAGGTAGTTTAAAGTAGATAGTTTAATTCATGAGGTAAACATCAATTTGACTTTCTTATGAAGAATACTATAGCAGTTCAATTTTTCTTCTTTCTGGGGTAATTCACCCTCTTTCCTATTGAACGTGTCATACAGATTCCTTTTCCAAAATACTTTTGTTTTCTGGAAGCTTGGGAATTGATGATTGTTGCCCAGGCTCCGTTGTGAAGCCCTAAATTCCATTCTGAAGCACTGGAATGACCCATTCATGCTAGGTGGAGAGGTAGAGGGAAACTTTGTTCAGTGTGTGTGTGACGCTGTAATTAGGAGTTCAAACTCTATGAGAAGTGTAATAGGGGGGGAGAAAAAAAACCAAACTACCAGATTTCATTGTTTCAATGTAATTGCTAGATAACATCTAGTTGTACAGGTCTTTCAAAGTAGTATCTTGCTGTTTTGTAAAACTTGTGTTTTAAATAGGTTGATTTAAAAATTGTAGACCTCGTATGGTTTTTTGCTTATGATTATAGACTTAGGGATATATTTAAACAGTGATCTAAACCTAACCAAACTAACTTTAAGATAAATTTCAGCATTTGGGATTTTCAGATAATCTCCTAAAACGATCCCCAGACATCTCTCAGTGCAGTAAAAAAAAACAAAAAAACCCAAAAAAAAACAGATTATAAGGTGGCAGTCTACAAAAATAATGAGTATTATTAGGCAAAATAAGTTTCATATGTTTTAATATGAGCCAGACTCAATGTCAATAAAAGCAAAGGACAACACAAGAAAGTAATGGAGTACTGATCCTTTTAAAATAAATTACTAATAAGGAATAAGGTTGCTTCATATAAAGTACTTCATTTAGTTTTATGCTGTTCTGGAGCCACCTGACCTCTAGGCACTGCTGTAACACAAATGGTAGTGATGAATGATTAAATATTGAGTAATCTTTTTCAGCTGCCAGTTGAAGCCAGGATAGAAGTGACTAAGAAGGCTATTAAAGCAGTCAAACACCTTTCTGAAAAATCAAGAAAAAAACCTTCTGAGAATTACATGGAAGATCCTGAAAATCCATCTGTTGCTTATGAAGAAACTCTGAATCACTTGCAGCAATCTCTTGCTCATCTGGAAACACTCACTCATAGTTTTATCACTTACTTGAAAAACAGCAAACAGGTAATGATTAGTGATCAGGTGCTTGTTTTGAGTGTTGTCAAGACTAGCAGTGATGGACATCAATCTTGTGTCATATTTTATTAATGTTTTGTAGCTTTGTTTTTGTTGACTTCATCTTTGAAAATTCACTTCCATCAATCTTTTCTTTTTTGTAGTATATGTTAAATCTTGATAGAAAGGAAGGCTTTGAACAATACATTCCTGTAAATAAAGGCTACGCTGATTTGTGTTCCAAAATTATCTGTTCACAGGATACACTACAGAAGTATGGCTATTTATATGATTTGTCAAGGTCAGAGAAAGAAAAAATCCATGACGAAGCAGTAGCTATGTGTATTGATGGTCAACCCCTGGACATGATACAACAGTTGCTACAAGTGGCTGTTGGAGATGTAGGTTTTTCTCCCAAGGATATTGTCCAATATGCTATTAAAAAAATTGTATGTACATTAAGGTAAGTACACTGCCACAATTAAGCCCAAAAATCTTTCTTCTGGGTCCTTTGGGTGGTTCTTTTTTGTGTTGTGGTTTTTTGGGGTTTTTTTGTTTGTTTTTTTTTTTGTGGGTGGGGTGGGTTGGTTGGTTGGGTTTTTTTGTAGTGAGTATTTGTTTGCTTTGAATGTCTGGATTTTGCAGAAAAATGGGCAGTAAGAGGAAATGAGTTTGCTTATGTTCCTGTTTACCTATCATTTTATATTTGGATAAGACAGTTCTATTTTTCTGAGGTTGGGAAGTGTGGGCAGTCTGAACAAAGCAAAGCCATAGAACTCATCCAATTCACTGGAGGGTGCTTTTCAGTTAAAAACGTTGGCTTTACAATATTCTGTAATGTGTGTGTGCACTTGTGAATTTTTGGCAGATTTACAATTGGACATAATTCTTCCCTCTTGAACAGAGTCAAAAAGCATGTTTGTTGGAAACAGTGGGTACCTCGTGCGGGTATTTGGGCAGTAGAGGCCTAGTCCTACAGGAATAAGTACAATTTCCATCTTTGAAATAACTTGCTGGGGTATTTTTTAGTTGAATATATACCTTTGAATAAAGCCTTGCTTCCAAGGTGCAGTTGTAACACTTCCGCAAAAGAGTCTGCAGCTAATGCAGTTGTGGTGCGTTTCTTCAGTGCCAGTCACGCCTGCGGCAAGGGAGGAGTGAAGGGTCTTGCATTCAAGTCCAGCTTTTTTGGTTAGCTGCAGTTTCTGTATTTCATGTCTTCTAGCCCAGAAGGGGCATGGCTTGCTTTCACAAGTTTGAGGCTGAAACTGTTTTATGTTGGCATTTGGGAGAATGTAGTCATCTCTGGAAAGACGGAACTGTAAAAGACACCTGCTTTTGGACATGTTCATGGACATGGTGAGGACATGGGCACAAATGATGGAAAGCTAAGTGCACTGAAAAGACTTCAGTGAAATAAGGTGTTTTTCCTTGACACTGTTTAATGCTCAGTTTAGATCAGCTTGCCATTTGTAACACCTCTAGTTACAGTTTGGTAAGAGATTTAACTGATTTCGTAGCCATGGTGATTATAAAATTCCTTTGGTGTGTCATGTGAAACTTTCCCATGTCGTTTGAGGTTCAACCTTTTTCCTGCCACAGAGTATATTTATTAAGATGGTGAATTCATGGGGGATGTGGTTTGGGGGCTCAAATGACAATCTGTCAGGTGAGTGTGCATTGAAAATGATTTCTTAGGATTGAATGAGTCTGTGAAGGTGCTGTGGTTCTGTAACAAGGTTTAGGATACGTGGAAGTCCATGAATTTTCATAGCCAGATAAGAGCAACCTGTCCTCTTTCCTACCAAGGAATTAGCAGTGTTCTGACCCATCCCTTAATGTGAATGAATCTGCGTGTCTGTCTTGATGTTCTCGCAGAACAACTTAATCAAAGATCACACTGAGTCCCCATTGCTGTTGGACTAGAGCTGAAACGTGAAATTCTCAAGATGGCAAGCAGACAATGAAGTTCTGGGATCTTATATCTACATCCCTGTCAGTATTTGTGTTCACAGGATGAAGAGAGCTGAAGACTTTTTTTTTTTTTTTTTTTTTGCCATCATTGTTGACAGAGTATCAGTGAGCTCTTAGGAATACTAATGTCCATGATGCTCTTTCTCCTTCAGAGCAGCATAAAAGGCTTTTTTTTCTGTAGTTAGGCGAAATTAATTCATAAGGGATTTTTTTTGTTTGTTTAAGGAAGCTTTCTTGGATTTAATGTTGCTGAGTTTTACCTGTTGCTTATTCCTGGCTGGGTCTTTGATGTACTTCTCATATAACTATTCATACAAAACTTTTCTCTGAAGTATTTCTGTTCCAAAGAGATACATGCAACAAGTATGAAAGAGTATTCAGTTGTTAGATGGCTGCTAGACACTGTTTATCACTTCGAAGACCAGTTTAAAGAGATAAAAGATTGAGAATGTGTCTTGTTCTTCTGCATACAGAAAAATTATGTGGACAGTATGATCTGAATGCACATACCAGAAATACAGAAACAAGTCTAGCATGGAAAATAATTTATGGCTCTACCTTTTCTTCAGCATGTACCTGTGTATTACAGCAGATTGAGGTGCCACAGATCAAAAGAAGGCAGCCTGTCAAAATGTTTGCAGTCCTCTTTGGTGGAAAATTGATTTCTCCTGTCACTCAGTTTAAGAGTGTTCTTAGCATCCTCAATGATGGTAGAGCTTTTGCTCAGGAACATAATCAATATTTTCTTTCCGGTCTGGGGTTGTCCATTTGATGAAGAATAATTTGACTTTAGATACTCACTGTCCTGCTGTTTCTGACTGGAATATAACAGTGGGATGCATCTGGATATAAAGCTCACAAAGTCCAGTTATTTCAACTTTAATGAATCTTGTTAACGTGCAGGGTATGAGAAACTTATCAAAATTCTCCTTTCTACTCTTCTTATCAACATTTTTCTGTGAACTGAATTATTATTTGCTCTTCATATGCATTGCAAGGCTGGAATGTCTGCAAGTTGATTTAAAGTTCTGGGGCAGAGACTGTGACCAGTAACTGCTATGCAGCACTTTCCAGTAAAGAAGGGAACGCCTTCTCTCTGGTAGAGAAAACTGCAGTGTCAAAGATGGGAGAATTAGTTGGAGGCTTCAGATTAGCTCAGAAATTCACTCATTTGGTGTGTGATGTGACCTAATGTGATCAGCGAAAATCTTCCCCCCCGCCTTCTTTGGGGGAAGGGGAGGATCCTTTCACATCATTCATGATAAATGAACAGATAGTGACCTATGGAAAGTTTGTCTACTATAATGATAAAGAGCCTGAAGTGAAAAAACCTAGCATAAAATACAATAGAAAATATTTGAAATAATATCCTATTACAAAAGTCAGTAAGAGGACAATATTATAAAGTAGCATAACCCTAAATGTAGGGAGCAATTAAAAGAAAAATCATTGTTTGGCATCTCTTAAGCCTGCTGGTATTAATGTTGTTGCTGTGAATAAAATCAGGTGCATCTCTATCCTACACCCAAATGTTAATTTTCAATCTAGACTGTAACACAAATTAAAACATATTAATCACATTTTGTGCAATACTTGAATTTCAGGGTTAATGGGCAAAAACTACAATTAAAGAAGTAGTCTTGCCTGTTAATTTGTTCACTACTCCCCATGGGCAGGCAGGTGTTCAGCCATCTCCAGGGAAGCAGGGCTGCATCACGCATAATGGTTTCTTGGGAAGACAGACGCCATAACTCCGAACGTCCCTCCACCCCTTCCTTCTTCTTCGTCCCAGCTTTATATACCGAGCATGACGTTATATGGTATGGAATATCTCTTCGGCCAGCCTGGGTCAGCTGTCCCAGCCGTGTCCCCTCCCAGCTTCCCGTGCACCCCCAGCCTGCTCGCTGGCAGCCCAGCACGAGAAGCTGGACTGTCCTTGACTACTCAGCAACAACTCAAAACATCAGCACCTTATCAACATTTTCTCATCCCAAATCCAAAACATAGCCTCACGCTAGCTTCTGTGAAGAAAATTAACTCTACCCTGGCTGAAACCAGGACACCTGTGTACCTGGATTGCAAACTGTTATTCAATAAATGCAGTATTTCAAAGGCAAACTCTTCAGGTTTGTTTATTGGAGCTTTGATATTTTACATAGTGTGGTTACTTCATACAATAGCTTTGCAAGAGATCGTGTTGGAAAACTTCTGTGACAATTAACCTTCAAAGTAGCAGTTATTAAGGTTATAACACTGAACTTGGATTGTCTGTAGCTATTGTGACAGGGAATGTAATTAATGTATTGTGGTCATAAATGAAACAGGCTGAATGTTTGTGAAAAATGTGATGGTAGTGTTGATGTGAAAAATTACGGTAGTATAGCTTTGAAAGAGATCGTGTTGGAAAACTTCTGTGACAACCTTCAAAGTAGCAGTTATTAAGGTTATAACACTGAACTTGGATTGTCTGTAGCTATTGTGACAGGGAATGTAATTAATGTATTGTGGTCATAAATGAAACAGGCTGAATGTTTGTGAAAAATGTGATGGTAGTGTTGATGTGAAAAATTACGGTAGTGTTGGTGATTTACCTGAAAGTTAAGCATCAATCCACCACTTTAGTGACTGAAAATATGCATCCTTTCTTTCAGTTTCATAACACAACTCCCCTTCAAGCCCCTTTTGTTATTAGTATATTTACTAACTACTGCAGAAGAATCTTCTAGAAAGTATTGCCTTTATGAAAGATTAATTGAATTCCTTTTTGACTTCATTTTTCAACAGTGTGCAATATCACAGGCTTAAAAACTCTCACACCTTCTCAGAAACAGACTGTTAAATATAACATACAGTTATTTGCCAAATATTAGATACTGATATTGTAATTTCAAGAGTAGTATTGTCCAGTTCTGTTAACTACTTCTATCTCCCTTGACTCTCTAGTTCTGGCACACAAAATTCAAAGTAGAAACTCTTGCACTGGTGTATATAAAACCTCTCCAGCAGAGCATATCTGCATACTTTATACGACATATGTATCGGAGACTTCTTCGTTTGCTGGTGGAAAGAGCTACTATAAATAAAAATCAGCTGCCTCTTCAATAGAAATCATGAACTTCTGGAGGAAAACACCAAAACCAAAAAACAAACAAAACCAAAAACAAACCTCCCAAAAAACCCCAAAGATTTTGGTAATGATGGTAGTCTGATTACATTTATGCAAGATGACATTTATGCAAGATTACATTTAATCCATTACCTAAGATCACTCACATGATATACTGGAGACTCTCCATAATGGATGACTGTAGGCATGTTCATGAATGGTTAGTCAGGGAAGACAGGTTGTCTCTTGAAGGCCTTCTTCATTGCAGCTCCTAAATTTGTTGTCTTACATGTCCAGAAGGATGTAGCATGTGATGAAATTTTGGAAGTATTCACCAGGCAATGAGCAGGAAAGGTTTGGTGAAATTCTGAGTTCTTGTTTAG